CCTACTGCACCCCTGATCTCCCTATATTGTCTCATCTTGTGCTGATGATGCACATTGGCTCTCGTTGTGGGTGTTGATTACTGCTGGTCACTGACTCTTAGGTCTTGATTACTGTGGGAACCTACGTTTTGAAGTGTGTAGCATTGTTTCCATGAATAAGTGCAGACACCGTTTTTGAGATATTTCCCTTACTCGTCAGTGTAAAGACGTTGTACTTGAATTCGGCCTTTGAGTAAAATGCATTTGTGTCTTTTATTTACAAAAGGCAATGGATTAAATAAACAGAAAATCTTGTAGTTACACAATCTAAATCATTCTCTATACCCTCTAAATTCACCGTCGGTGGCTCCTACGGAGGATGTTACGCCTGACCTTCCAAATTCCACCAACTTTTGTTTTTCCCTTTGTATTGACAAAAGGTATGCGTACCTTGGACGAAACAGCGTCAGAGCGTTGTAATTGTGACGAGGCCCCGCCTCGAAAAAGGTCTGGGCACAACTGTTCGGAGGGTGGAAGATTTCCCTCACCGCGAACAAGAACAATTTTGGAATTACACTGTAGTGCTTTTTTCATTTTCCTCAGAACATCTTGGGGTGTGTAAACATTCAAATACTGCTCGTGAATGTTGATGCTGTGTACAATAAGCAAACCCAAGAAACATCCACTAGTTCCAAGAGCTAGTGGAAGATCTTTCGATTGTATCAAGTTGGGATAAAGTTTGCTTTGGTGGTCTTTAAGTAATATCTCATCACATGAGGAATCCGTGCTGTATACTCCCCAGATTAGTGATGAAAGTAATAGCGGGACGTTCTTGAAATCAAAACTGCTACCCATTTTGAAATTGAGAAGTGAAACGGCGTAAACTCCTGGACTTGATGTACTGCCAACCCTGTAGCTAATTCTTTCCGGAGACCGCGCTAATATGTGATGGCTGAAATCAAAGAAATCATCTCCTTTGCGATGGAAATACAAAAGCTTGCTATCAGCTCTAAATTGACTGGGTGTGTTTGAGGACACTTGGAATACTCCAGGAAGTAATGTCGCTGCAGCGTAATGCAAGCTCTGTAGTAGACTCAGATTCTCGTCTGCTTCACTTGACATGTTGCTTGTCAAGAGGACCAAATCGCAAGGACCGACTATGGATGTTACCTTTTCCAAAAGCGTCCTTCCATATCCTTTAATCCAACCGGGAGTATTGACAACTAGTCGTATGCCTCTTTGCTTGTACTTCTGAAGATAGGAATTGTAAAGCTTGCTCGTGATTTCAAGATACCTCGACGGCGCATCCATTGGGCTGCTGAAGCCATAGTACTCTTCATGCTTATCAAAAATAAAGCCCGAATTTGTACATATATAGGGTGACGTTTGGATGCTCAAAGACATGCAGTAAGGAGAAGAATTGTCGGATTGTCCTGGGTCAAGATCCATAACCACCACAAATTGTTTCTTCTGGAAGCGTAAGAAATCCAGCAATGACTTACAGAAAGTGGATTTTCCTGCATTTTTATTTCCTATGACAACCAAGTTATTTGATGATATTGCAGCATTAGATGCAAAGTACTTGACCCAAGAATCATCCACAAATAAGCCGTGGTGGACTCCGCTTTGAATAACGATCTCAAAAGTGAAACGTGCAAAAATCGCATCTTTAGCGTTACTGTCTGAGGTGGATGATAACAATGTCAGCTTGTCACTCGCTATCTCGAATCCCGTGTAATAGTTGACCAATCTGATCTTGACAGGCTCTTCTGTGTCATTTGTTCCAAAGGAAACATTGGAAATGATTGGTAAAGCGTTGGTATCAATTGTGAAGAAGGTATACATCTGATCGTTGTTGGCATCTAGTTCATAGCAATTATTGATCTTCACTCTTCCTTGCAATATTTGAAGTTTGAACATCCCTCGAACCATTATGAAATCTCCAAGCTCAAGTGTTACCAAAACTGAATTGTTTCCTTCGAATTGCAAGTTCGTTTCACTCGGAAGAAAGTCCGACTGAAATATTTGCTGCTTTGTCAAAAGCGGAGTGGTTCGGCTGCTCTCACTTTCTCTCGATTCGAGCTTGACGTCTATTGTTGGTGGGGGGACGTCATCCTCATCACTGCAGTCGTCGTCTGAGTTCTTGGCATACAGCAAAATGTTATCATCTGCATCAATAGCTGAAGGAGGAGAGCCTCTGCTACTAATAGCATCTGCTTTCAAAGCTGCATATGCACTCATTCGCACAAACTTGCTTTCACTCGAGATGCCATTGGAAGTGAAACGAGAAGCTGAGATTTTTTTTCTTCTATCAAATTTTTGTTGTTTTATCTCCGACGCGATTTGTGGACAGAGAAGTGACAGTGAAGTGATTGGCAAAGTGCTACAACAACATGTTCATTTACAACATTTCAAATTGTACAATACCTACTACATACTGTACTACATCAGTACAAACTACCCTCTCTCTTAACAAAAGAACCTACTCGTCATCATCATCACTACCATCATCTTTGTAGCCGTGTTTCCTAATCTCTCCAAGTCTTCTTCTCGCAGATTGAAGTTTATTCTCAAGCTTCAAAATCTCCACTTGCTGCTCCATCTCAAGAGTCTTTCCTTCATAAGGAGTCAACTTGCTCAAGTCAATATTATCATTCTGCAGCTGGTCATCACTCAACAATCCTTGAACTTTCTTAACTAGAGCCTTACATGCACGAGTAACATCACCTGAAGCCGTCTCCAAAGCGTCTTGAGATTTGGACATGAAATTGGCCTTGACCCTAGACGCAGCAACCAATTGAGCCGTTGAGGCAGCAACCTCATTTGAAGCAACAATCAATTCTTCGTGAGAGTTTTTCTTTTGTAAAACACCATCAGAAATTTGAATCAAAATGTTAGTGGCTCCTGCCACCGCCTTTGCTGCACTGATAAGCCCTTCAGTCCACCTGCTATTCTTTCTGTAAAACTCAGTATTCGATTGTGTACCCTTCCCTTTGTTTACAATTTCACGTTGTGACTCTACTGAAGCTTGTATCAAACGTGCCACCGCATCGATTATTGCTTTAGCGCAGGAAATCAACGTCTCGTGGATTTCAATATTACCTCCATAAATGTTTGGGTTCTTCAACAACTCAGTCAAATACTTGGAGGCCGAATTGACGGCGTCAACAGTTTGTTGCATCTCCTTATTCACGAGACTCTCAAGATCACCTTTGAACTGGATACCACTTGATAGCTTTAAAGAGTCAACCAAGCCTGCCAATTCTTTCAAGGACGTCTGTAACTCGAGATTGCTATCTATTATCAGATCGATTCGGTCCTCCTTATCGTCCAATTGCTCAAGCTTTTCTGATTTCAAGCCATGATAGTACTCCTCTGCGTCATCGAGCACTCTCCTCATCTGACTCAAGATATTTTCTTCATCCTTTCCAGAAGAGCCCTGAGAAATGCTTTTAGCTGTTTGTGTCAAATCATTCAAATACGTGACCAATGACGAACTGTATAAAATGATTTCTGAAAAGACTTCCTCATCTTGATTGTTGTCCTCAGCTATGTAGCCATTGAACGCTGAAGTAAAGTCGGTAGCTGTATCGGAACAAAGTTCAACCACAGACAACAAGTATTCAGGAGACAGGTTGTTATTTGTCCCCACCAACGTGTTCAATGTCAACTCATGTTTGATGTCCAAAATGCGTCTAATGCTATTGTCCAAAAACACATCAATCAAACTCTTAAACTTGGAAATATGCGTCATGATAATGTGGTCAATCTCTGCATTCAAAATATCATCTTGATCACCCTTGATACGTCCAATCTCCTTATACGCTTCCTCAAGCGATTGGTTTGCTATTTCCAATTCGGTCTCCCTGTCCTTCAATTGCTCTTGTAAGCTTTCCATTGTTCCAGGCTCACCATTTTTAGAATACCGCTCCAATTGAGCCTTCAAATCGTTCAACTCTGCTTCGTGTTTTGACATGATGGTAGTGAGGTTCATGTTTTGCAATTTACTTGATTCCTTAGTCGAGACATTGAGGTCTCTTATTTCGGTTTCTAACTTTTCAATTTCCAGATCTTTCGAAGCCTTAACTCTATCCAATTCAAGTCTAGCCCGATCGCGCTCTCTAATTAAATCGGCCAATTCGACATTCTTGGCCTTCAAGTCTTTTTCAAGTTTTTCCTTCTTGGCAATGGACTCCTGAGCACTGCTTATCTTTTGTTGAATCTTCTTAAACTTTGCCAACAAATTCAAATGTTCCTGACGCAACTGAGAGTAAAGCTTAGCAAGTGACTCATACTTTTTCGTCCAATTTGCGATTTGTTCTTCTAAATTTTGAATTTGTTCATTCTTGGACGTGACCTGCTGGGTGGCAGTATTGTTGAAAGCTGCCATCTCATTTTCCAACGTCTTGACTCTTGTGTCATATTGCTGCAACAATTGCTGATCATTGTCGTATTGGTTCTTGAACATAAGTAAGTCGTGTTCCAACTCAGCTACACGTCCTTGCTGCTGTTGTGTTTGTTGCATTTGTAAAGCTTGTTGCTCTTCCAAAAAGCGTCTTTCTTGCTCTCTTTGTTGCTGCTCAAACAAGCGTTGTTGCTCTTGTTGTTCTTGGAGTTGCTGTTGACGCTGTAACTCAAGTTGTCTTTGAATGTTCTCTTGCTCTTGTTGTTGTTGGAAAAGGATACCCGTTTGTTGAGAAGGAATCTGTTCAGAAGAGATCGAAGGAGGAATGCTAGGTGGTTCTATGCTGACCGATCTTTCTCTCGGAATGCTCTCTACCTCATGCCCGTTGGAGGTTCCCCCAGCTATTGCTCTACCTTCTTCGTCTACTTTCAAATCTGGTGAGCTATTTGGGAGACGAGGAATGGTAATCAAGCTGGTTAAAAACTTGATTGAGTGGCAATCTGTGTAAAAATCCCGCAACATAAAGTGTTGTGACTCAAACCGGTCAAACAATACTGTCAAAGCCTCGTCTTCACCTAATTGTTGATACAATGCTCTAAGCATTGAAAGACAAAATTTATAAATTCCATAGGACTCGGTGATCAAAGGGACTAGCGCACTGACTTTGCACAAGTTTCCATGTGAGCGATGTATAGTAGCAAAAAGAAGCTTTTGCAAGTCGTTGATCAGATCCTGGAGATCCATCAATTGCAAGATAGACTCATATCCTTCATTGGGGTCACTGACTGCTCGCAATGAAAGGTACTCCTCATATTCGAAAGTTCCGTTGAAACCAGGATTGTTACGATGAAAATCCAATTTTTGCAAAATGTACCGGTCATACTGATTGATCAATCTACCGTAAGCCAGTCCATGACTGGGGAACACCGATGCCAATGAGGCAACAAAATCCCGGTTCCGGTACCCGTCTTTCAAGGTGTTTGGATGCCCCTCTTGTAAAACCTTGTGAATCATGATTAATGCCTTGAACAACAGAACCTCGTTACTCTGCAAGGGCTGAATCTTGACTGCGTTCCAAAAAGCTCTTGAGTTTTTATGATCCCAGGTGTAAACAATGCATGCCCTGACATGTTTTCTTTTTGGTGGGACTTCGTCAGTATTGCATGCTTTCTTGACACTAGTCTGCAAATCCACCTCTGCACGACTCATCTTGAATTATTTATTGGGCGGCGTCAATTATCTGTGACGCAACTTGTGACAATAGATAGATGTGTAGAGAAATGGGTGTGTGGGTGTGGGTGTGTGGCAATGCTGAATATATATGTCTGTAAAAGCGTCGACAATTTCTTTTTTTTCAATTGGCGGCGCACTCGGAGTAAAAGAAAGTAAAGTGAAGTAATTGAAGTAAGTAAGTAAAAGTAGACTAAGATAAACAAATAGAGTGCTTTCAAAAGGTAGACCTTCTTTTCAAGATCAGTGTGACTACCTAGTCTTGTCGATCTGCTCAGCCATACATTGCTCTATAAGAACTTCAAATAATCCATTATCCCTACATCAAGATATCTCTCTCTCTCTCTCTCTCTGTATACTAAATCCAATATTTACATAAAATCACAAATTCTCACTCCCTTCAGTGCCAAAACAAACTACTTCATTTCCTATACCTGGTCTTTCCAAAATCGAAAGGCAAGTACTTATACTTTGCCATATGTTGAATCTGCTTCCGCATAGTCAAAGCAAATAAAACAATGAAGTACATCAACAAGATCGGCCAAAACACAGGGATATCAAATACCGAAAAGAATGTCAAAACCAAACTCAAAATAGTGGCTCTCGTTGCATTGTACCAAAACTTAAACTCTGGCAATCTTCTGATAAACGGTCTAAACTCGTCATCCTTAGATTCAGACCCCGATGCTTGTGGTTCTTGGTCCATGCCTTCTTCAATAGATTCATTCTTCATCTCTTGTTCCAACGACGGATCAAACTTGGGGGTTAAAAATGCCAAAAACAAGTTCAACAAGTATATACCCAACGCGTAGCAAATGATGTACCATCCTTGAGCAATGAATATCCTAGTCATAAACAAAACGAGTAAGACACCGAACCCTAACCATCTCTGACTGGTATGAGGCACTGATTCATCGACAAACTTTTGATAAGTGACTGCGAGCTTCTTGTAGTTTTGATACACTGGGTTATCAGTGGGTATTTCAAACGGTAATTCCACTGGCATGATTTGTAATTTGAATGAGGAATGTGCTTGCGTGTTATGTAGAACAACAACAAAAAGCGTGGGATTTGCTGTGTGCTGTACGTTGTTTAAGATTTGTTAACGTTTAAGTGTTGTGATATTTTTTCTTCTCGTGTATTTTGAGTGAGAGTGAGAATAAAAGTGGACAAAGGAAAAAATACAATGTCGTGTCATTTTTATTATATTTCTCACGACACACGCACACACACACACACACACACACATGCACAGCAAGTCATGAATGAATGAATGAATTACTCTTTGCAGCCATGTATCCACTTTTCCTCAACGATAGTTCACACAACATGGACTAATACATCATAAAAAGCATACCTCAAAGAGTACACAAAAGCATTAAAGATCACGTATTCACAGATAGACATTTCAAAAACGGAATAAACCTCTCTAGTTTATACAGAGTTACATTTTTAACAATTCTGCATTGATTCTTTGAAAAACAAAAAAAAAATCAAAAGCAGTAGGGAACTTACCATTTATCGCCTACTATTGTAGAGCAAGATTTCCTATATATATATATTTTGCATTCTACTGCCTATCATTCTTTTTCTTCCTCTATTAAAGCCTACTACGTATTAATACATCACTTTAATTTAAGTACAGAAGATAGAAAGTGCGTTATTCTTGACTGCTGCTTTTTCGCAGTTAACATTCGTCCTTCTGCAGTAGGGACTCCAGTGGAACTATATACGGTTCATTCCAGTCTTCTTGCTGTTCCTGCTGTCGTCACATGGCCTGCCACGGACACCGGTGTCCTCCTCCTCGTGTTCTGGCACCGAAAATGTGCTGCATATCAAACTCACTCGGATTTCAAATCAGGTTACGGATTCACAATCACACGGGTCAGACAAACACAGTCGCCAAGGTCCCAGGCGTGTAGCGGCCAAGAAAATGTGGGACTTTTCCCGATGACAGCGAAGCACGGCAGAAATGGTTTTGGGGCATCTTGTCCCACATTGGCCAACTTCGTGCTCTATATAGACTTCTCTTGTAGCTGCTCTGTAGCTGCTGTGTAGCTCCTGCTCGTTCTTTCGTCTCTCAAATACCTCTGGTTACAGAGCTCTGCCACTGGGGACTGGCATGAGCCTCCATAGTGCTGCGAATGGGCTCGCTTGCACACGGTAGCTGTTGTTGACGCACCTGGATCGCTCGTTCCCCATCGAAGGCGAAGTGCTTATCTTAATGTTGTCAATTTTTCTCAATAATACTCGAATTTAAATATCATCTACCTACTACGTTCTGTAAAAAGCAAAGGTTGAATATATCGATTATGCGCCTAATTGCAAGCCATGTCCGATTTTGAATAATTTGTGGAAGAATTTGGTACATTGAATGACTTTCATGAAATTACCCTTGATAGCGTCGAACTCAGTCCATAAACGGTAGCCCACCTGATGTCTCTTCTTCATACAATCTCAACGCTTCTCTAACATGACTAGGCTGAAGGGGAGTACGTTGGTCTCCTTGGTATTGTAAACGAGGTCGTTTTATGTCATCTTGAGATTGCAGATTTTCCACGTCGGCTCGCTTTCGTCTCTTTTTCTCCTCAATATCAATTAATAGCTTCCCTTTATTATCCCGCTCCTGCACTTCAAATGACTTACTTATAATCTCAGACATGAACAGTTTCGCCACACCGGCCACAACTGTCGCTATCACTTGAGAAACTGAATGGCCCACAACCCCATTGCAAATCTTCTTTATTCCGGGTTTGTTGATTTTCAGTCGCCTGTAAGCTTCGAATCTTTCCATTTGGTCGTCAGTAAAGTTTGTGATTAATAGCCGTTTCTGTTCTTCTTCGGACAAGGAAAAGTCTATGGCATTACTCCGTAGATCCTTGTATCGTTCAATTAATGCTGGATCGCCAAGAAGCTTTAAATCCTCCAGACTGATCGATTGCAAATCTTCGTTGTCAGAAAACCCGTCCTCTTCATCTGCTTGTCCCTCGTCATTCAGAATGAGTTGCTGTTGTTTATCTTTTTCCTTCTCCAAATCACTGAAGAAGACCCTCCAAATCAATTCTTCATCCTCTTCGTCCAAGCTGACATCGGACGCAACGTCATCATCCGGCGTAGTAGCTGGCCCTAACTCGTTTTCTGCCATTTGTAGCTGATTCACTGCGGACGTTATTTTGCCTGCAATGGACATTTTTTCCTTAGAGTGAGAATTTTGTTCTCAAACGAGTTAAACAGTATCTAAAGGCAGAGAAGAAGAGAACGAGGGTCGTTCAAATTGTGCTTTCATTAGTGAAAGAAAGCCAACTCTAAACGTACATGGTCTGGTATTTTCACGCCTAGACGTTTATTTCGGAACAATATATAACTAGAACAAGACGACTTTGATGAACGATATTTAACTGCCAAGTCAGACACCAACGAGACAACCATGCGAGTATGAGAATAAGAGACTTATGGCGACAACTTTCAAACGCCACTTGGGTGTATATTGATTCCTCTATTGGAAAATAAGTCTAGTATCTGATTCTGGTCATCTTTAGTGTTGTCTTTCATACATTTCTCAACACGAAGTTCCAAAATTCCTTTGTACTGTTCCCTACTTGTGGTGAGCATATATCCAAATGAGCAACACTCGCATGGATTCACTTCATGGCAAGGGTATTCCGGGGGAGGGGACTGTGGTGACATATCAGACAAAGATGAGCTAACAGGGCTGGTAGTTGTAGCTTGCCCGCAACCGCATTTGCACATTAGCACTCGATTCAGCCGTCAACCAAATAATACAACTCCCATCGCTACATGCGAGAACATCCCCCTTTTACTTGTATGGTATAAATTTTCAGAAACATAACTACTATCTGTTCAAAAACGTTACCCTAATGAGAGTAACTCGCGAGAACAATGACTAGTGCAACCAGCAACTTCTGTTGAGTGAATGCTTCCTCTCCCCCCCTCACCGAAGCTACCCTGTTAATAGAATCAGCTGAGGTCTGACAAATTAGCCACAATTTCCCTCATTAACTGCTGTAAATGTTGTAAATCGACATCGGGTTTGAAGTAGCTCGATTGCGGCAAGCTCTGGAGAGATCCAATGCAGTGTAAGGCGGTAGTTTGCAACGAAGGATTTTGCCGAAACAAATGTCTCTCCTGTTCACTGAGCATCCCAAGACGTGAAGCTACATCAAAATTGAGCGACTCTGTTGAAAATCGTTTTCTTGTTTCAATCAATGGAACAATAAACACGATGCAAAATGAATGCTGAAGGATCTCATCAACAACGATTGGCAGCATCCTCTGTTCCACGAACTTCCCTCCTGTATATGACCTGGGAGCTGCAAATACAACCTGAAATATTTGTAAAATTTGAAATCGAATATTTTTATTGTAATATACCCACGACTTTGACAAGCTTTGCCAAACGTTCGACGCATCAGAGCCCGTGCTTTCGTTGTTGCTGTCTAGGTCAATAGCATTAGTTATATCGCACTTAAGCCAGCTTAAGCAAGACATAAAGATGGTTGCCAAATCTTGAGCAAGTCCTCTCGCCTCATCTTCATCAAGGGCCGCAATTGAAAAGCTTTCACCTCCGCTCAACCCGGAGACTTGTCCTTTTGAAATTGACTTATTTGACTTGATCCTATGTTTCCCACTTTTTTGGTTTTGGTCCGAGCTTGTGGATCCATTAAGTTCTGCAGTGAAATGGTTTTTGATCATTACTCCCACTTCATCGAGAGAGTGACCTAAGAATGGGTGGGAAGAAAATGACGATCTTTTCTGCTTGGACGGAGTGAATAAAGGTTTCAAAAGCGTGCTTATTCGCTGACTTGATCTGTTCAATTTCAACTCCTCGTCTAAACTAGGCGACTGACCGATAGCATTTTTGTTAACAATACCCAACCCGATCTCTTGCGAGTGGTGCTTACTAAGCTTATTCTGAATGTACAGGTCCGCCGGTGTTAGCATCTTCCTATGAATATCAAGAAGCGAAGTGTGCTCCGCGAGCCCTCCATCATAGTCCTCGTTTTGAATGCTTGGATTCGTGAATCGAAAAACACGAGCGAGCATTATGTCATTCACTACTGAATTCGAATTGTTCGAAGACAAACAGATTGAAACTTTTGCCGAGCCAGAGTGTAGTTTATCTTCCACGTTCTTATCTCCAAATTTGGGCAATCCGCTAGCAGACAGTGATTTATGAAATAGACTGTGGAAACCGGACAGTGGTGACGTCAATATTTGCTTCCTTCCTCTAATTTCGTCGCTCAATCGTCTATTTGAGGACTTCTCATCAGCAAAACTCGACTCTGAAGAAGATTCAAACTGCAGTTTACTTGTGGGACTCAAAATCTTCTTCGCTGCTCTTAACTTATTAATCTTGGACTCCTTGCCCAGTTCAATGGTGCTGGAATCACTCGTTGGGTCTGGTGCATTCACAAATTCTCCCTCGGGATTTCTTCCAAGGACATTTGTTTGCGACTTGTTCCGAGTGAATAGTCTGCTCAATGGATTGGATTTGACGGATGAATTACTTATAGCGGACGCTTGCGACATATTTGTTCCGATCTTTCTCAACGTTCCGAAATCCACGTTGGATATCTGGGACAGATTGTGATCGGCACCAGAGCCTTTCCTTCCATTCACGTCAATGCCATTACTAGCTGGGTGGGTGCTGATATTAGGATAGTCCATGAGCTGTGTGTAAATAGGTGCATGTCCTGGTGTATTATACTTGGCTATTAAATCCCCAACGGAGAAGGGATGTGAAGCTTTTTTTCTCCCTCTCTTCGTCTCTCTCTCTCTCTTATGCGGAGGTGTGTCTCACAAAGCAGTTTTACGACATTGAGGGAGGCGCTTACAAAGTATTGTATGCAACAAGAATGAAACCACACAGTCTAGAAACTCAGTGCCGTCAATTGGAGGGTTGAGGGGGATGTTTAGGAAACAAAACATATACTGTAACCAAGGAATCAATAAACGAGGCTCGTCTTCTAAGTCAAAATTTTAGCTAGATTTTCTTGCAAAAAAAAAAAAGAACATCCATTGACTAAAACTAATGGCATTAGTTATCATAAGAAACTTAGCTGACAAAGCAAGCCCAAGCTAGATATAAGAAAGAGGAGTATCAAATTTAAATCCAGAAATTGTTACAGCTGTTCGCACATATGTGGTTAGCTTCGTTTCTAATAGCGCGCGTGTGTGTGTGTGTGTGTGTCTGTGTGTGTCTCTCTCTCCTTTTTTGCAACTCTTGACAGATTTATTTATTTTTATTTTGTTTTGTTTTGTTTTGTGTTGCATTTGGATGTTTTGATTTGTAACCAATCGGGAAATATATATACAAAACACAGTTATATACGCAATTATATATATATATATATATACATATGTAGCAACGGGTAAGGCATGTAAGTATACGTATCTCTACAAAGTCTCTTTTCAAACCGTGTCAATTACAGCCGGACGAAACCAGACCAAGAATTTGGCATACATTGCAAAGAACTGAAAGTGAAGAACAGCAACATCGTCCTCGCTGAACATCGAATACATTTCTCAGCCCCTAAGTGCATCATCACTTTGAAAAGTTTCCCAATTCCACAGACATGATAAACCCATTTGACGAGGGACATGGACATAAGGAGCAGGAGCATCCAATAAAGCTTCCATACGCCGCTTACACACGCAGCTCAAGTCCAACAAAAAGATATCAACCATTGGATTATGACAGTGAGGACGACAGTGAGCAAGATTTCAACGTGTTTCCAGCGTCTGATATTAAACAACAGCAACATGGTGTCAAGCAATCACCAAACATATTTGCAAAAAGCACAGGGAAATCCAACCATCAAGCAATAAAACCCAAGTCGCCATTTGTCGGTAATGCACCAAGGATGGAGTTCAACCCCAACATTGATCTTGAAACCACACCCAGAGCACACTTCACCTCACGCGAATCTCCAAAAAGACAACGGAATACAGAAATAGTGTTTGACGAGGATGAAGAAGCAAATAACGGCTCTCCATTGAGATCCTCGTTTCAAGGAAGCTCGATAAGCAGTCAAAGATACTTGGACCCGCCACAGCCGATATTCTCGCCAGGTACCCTTCATGAAGCCGGCCATTACTCGGATGATCAAAGTACGTACTATGAGAATGACAAGTATAATGAAAAGGAAGAGACTAGAGAAGAGGCAAGATCTATGTATTCAGAATCGACAGCGTACACTGGATACTCACACTTGTCTGATCCCAACGACGAAGCTCAGTACTTTACCGAGTCAATAGATGGTAACCTCATGCAAAACATTGATGCAGCTTACGATCCACATAAAGAGAAAACCATCACGCGCCGGAAAGTAAGACTAGTTGGTGGTAAGAAAGGGAACTTGGTGTTGGAGAACCCAATACCGGGAGAGTTACGCAAGGTGTTGACCCGGACGGAGTCCCCCTTTGGAGAGTTTACCAATATGACCTATACTGCTTGTACTTCGGATCCAGATACTTTTATTGAGGAAGGGTTCACTTTGAGAGCAGCAAAATTCGGGAGAGAAACCGAGATCCTTGTTTGTATTACAATGTACAATGAGGATGAATTTGCATTTGCTAGAACTATGCACGGGGTCATGAAAAATGTTGCTCATTTGTGTTCAAGGCGTAAGTCTAAAGTTTGGGGAAAAGATAGTTGGAAAAAGATTCAGGTGGTGATTGTTGCCGATGGTAGAAATAAAGTCAATGAGTCTGTTCTACAATTGCTCACTGCCACCGGATGTTACCAAGATAATCTAACAAGGCCCTATGTGAACAACAAGCAAGTGAAGGCCCATTTATTTGAATACACCACGCAGATATCCATTGATGAGGAGTTGAAATTCAAGGGGGACGAGAAAAACTTGACTCCCGTTCAAGTTTTGTTCTGTTTAAAAGAACAAAACCAAAAAAAGATCAACTCCCACAGATGGCTCTTCAATGCCTTTTGTCCTGTATTGGACCCCAATGTTGTTGTTCTTCTTGATGTCGGGACTAAGCCGGATAATCACGCGGTATACAATTTGTGGAAAGCATTTGACAAGGACTCAAATGTTGCCGGTGCTGCAGGAGAAATTAAAGCCATGAAGGGGAAAGGATGGAGAAATTTAATCAACCCATTGGTTGCTTCTCAAAACTTTGAGTACAAATTATCAAATATCCTTGATAAGCCATTGGAGTCATTATTTGGGTACATATCCGTCCTTCCTGGAGCTTTATCAGCTTATCGGTATATTGCACTAAAAAACCACGAAGATGGTACGGGGCCGTTGGCGTCCTACTTCAAAGGCGAAGACTTACTAAGATCACATGAAAAGGATAAGGAAAACACCAAAACCAATTTCTTTGAAGCCAACATGTACTTGGCCGAGGACAGAATCTTGTGTTGGGAGCTTGTGTCAAAAAGAGGTGATAATTGGGTTCTAAAATTTGTCAAGCTGGCCACCGGGGAGACAGATGTTCCAGAAACAATATCTGAGTTTCTTGCACAAAGAAGAAGGTGGATCAATGGTGCTTTTTTTGCAGCTTTATACTCATTATACCATGGGAGAAAAGTGTGGCACACAGACCACTCTTTTGCAAGAAAGTTTTGGCTTAATGTTGAATTCATGTATCAAACTGTCAACTTGGTTTTCTCCTTTTTTTCATTGAGCAACTTTTACTTGACGTATTACTTTCTTACTGGTTCACTTGTGTCGTACAAGCACTTGGGTCATAATGGAGGTTTCTGGATATTCACATTGTTCAATTATCTATGTATCTGTGTGTTGGTTTCGCTATTCATTGCTTCCATTGGTAACCGACCACACGCATCAAAAAACATATTTAAAACACTAATAATCTTGCTAACAGTATGTTCCTTGTACGCTTTGATTGTGGGTTTGGTGTTCGTTGTCAACACAATACAACAATTCGGCCTGGGAGCTACGTCATCCTACGTTTTGATCAGCATTGTGGTCTCCCTTCTTTCTACTTATGGACTTTACACAATCATGTCGATACTATACTTGGACCCATGGCACATGTTGACTTGTTCGGTACAATATTTCTTATTGGTTCCAGCTTACACATGCACATTGCAAATATTTGCATTCTGCAACACCCACGACGTGTCCTGGGGAACAAAGGGAGATAACAACCCACAAGAGGACAAAACCAACCAATACATCATTGAGCAAAACGACCAGGGTGAGTACGAAGCGGTTGTGCTGGATGTTAATGTTGATGAAGTGTACCTTGAGACATTGTACAACATCAGAGCAAACAGATCAAGCAAGAAGGTTAACAAGAAAAAGACCACCAAACATGTATTAGATGGAGACGACTATGCTAAGGATGTGCGAACAAAAGTGGTACTTTTCTGGATGTTGGCCAATTTAGTTTTCATCATGACAATGGTTCAAGTCTACGAACCAGGAGACACCGCGCGCAACATTTACCTTGCGTTCATTTTATGGACAGTGGCTGTTTTAGCCCTCTTCAGAGCTGTTGGCTCTTGTGGCTACTTGCTCCATGACTACACTAGGAGCTTGGTTGAAATGTCAAGCAAATGGAAAAATAGAAGAGCAGGATACAATCAGACAAATAACAACCCTTTGAATTAGTGTTGTGAACTTTAATAAAGTTCTAAAATATTATGCAAATGGACGCAATTTAATTGCAGATAAGCTTCCATAACCAATAGGAGAAGGCGTGGTCAAAACTGAACAACCTTTTAGCCAATCACGATAAAAAGGTGTCTCTAAGGAGTAAAAATAAAAAAAAGGAAATATAGAATGTAAAAAAAAAAAACAATAGACAAACAATAGATGTCAATAATTTACCAAATGCACACTACCTATACACCATAAGTAAAAGTTAAGAGAAGAGAAATAAAAGAGAGGCTTTTAAGTTTAGTAATGGTAATTTAACTTTACTTTTAAATAATATATACAAATATATTTAATAATGTATTACAATAATATTTGAACAATAAATGTAACCTAAACCCAACAACAACCCAACAACAACTCAACCAACCAACCAATTAGAATATAAATTGAGTGGAATATACCTTGCTCCCCCTTTCAAATTTTATCTAAAAGATCTTTTTCTTCTTCTTCTTCTTCTTCTTCTTCTTCTTCTTCTTCTTCTTC